TGGAAGTGGAAGGAAGATCTGCTTGCCTCAGAGGACAGGGGGAGGGAGTGAGTGGGGCTTATTTCTTAAAGGGACAGGGTAGACCATTATACAAAAAAAATTCAAGAACATAACAAAACAATTATCTACCATGATCTCTGGGTTTCATCCCAGGATTGCAGGGATGGATCAAAAACACACTGACACTTCACTGAGAAAATATATTTTATATGCTTTTACCACACATACAAAAAAGCTACCTATAGGATGTAAAAGTCTCCCTAATTTGCTCATCTACAGGAATCAGTTATTTTGAATATTTATATTAACATAGTAGATAGTTTAACTTAAATATATATAATAAAAATGCTTCCAGCAGAGATTAAAAATGAAATGAGTTCTTTTTCACATTTGAATTGTGCCCCAATCACATAGATCATCTTGACTGCATTATCAAGAATAAGAAAGTATCCTTATATGTGATTTATGTTAATAAAAATGTGCTATAGATACCTTAAAATACCTTTAGGAAATTCTGACCTACATTAGAGATCATTTTAGGTACATCTAATTCAATCTATATTACATCACCTTTAAGGAGATCAAAGTATTTTAAATTGCCATAACAAGAGCTCAAGATTTGAAAAGCACATATTTTTTCCTTATTGAGACATCCATCCTCAATAAATCAGAACGTTTCTCCTTTAAGTAGCAAACTCTGTTTTAAAGGCATATTGCAATGACATAATCTAATCCTTATATCCTTATACCAAGATTTGCTTTTTTTAAAAAAAAAAGTAGGGTCTATTGAAATATCATTCATACAAAAACATACACTTCCTTTGCAGAACTAAATGAGTATCTCTCAACAACAAACTATTCAGCTGTCCTAACTGAATTCCAAAAACAGGAAAAGGGAAACAGAATCTACATAATCTTGAGAAGATAAAAAACAATAAAACCCCAAATTTAAAACCCCAACATCTTTAATAATGTATACATATTACAAAATGGATCACTAAATCAGTAATAAAGGAAAATAATCCAGTACCCATCAATCAATGCTGTAGGAAAATGGCCTGGCTTCTCATTCTAGATGTGCAGATTACTAGCTTTATGCCCTTGGAAATGGATTTAACCTCTCTGAACTTCCCTTTCTCCATCAAAGAATAACAGTCATGACGGGAAGAAAGGCTTTAAATACCAACACCTAACAATATCTAGTGTCTAGTGCAGAGCAAATGAATAGCAGAGTGGGAGGCAGCTTGGCGGTCGAGTGGTAGCGCGCATACCTAGCACATTCTCAGTGCGGTTAGGAAAACTACAAACAGTAAAAGAGTGAAGCTCGTTTCTCTCTCTAAACAGAGTGTGCCAGCCAGACACCAGCATGAAAAGATCTGTATCTTACTCAAAATCATATTTACTTATCCATATACCTTTTGCACCCTAAGTACAGTACAGTTTAGCATTAAGAGAAATTAAAGTTTGCTGTGAAAGTCATTTTATCTTAGTTGTGGATAAAGAATGAAACACAATTTTAATCACTACATTAATAAAACAGAATTCTGTTGAATAACAAACTGATAAGGAAATTAAATGTAGATTTTAAGTATTTTGGTGTTTTAGAATATTCAAAGCATTGATGATATTCAAAATTACCAGCACTTGTTAGAAATGACATTGTATTCTCCACAATTTACTTTTTTAATTCCACAGACTATAATTAGCCTGGAAGTAGTTTAAACTATTACCCAACAGAGTCATTCATTTATCTTGGGGATTATTTTATTCCATTTGCTGGTAAAGAAATAAATGTAAGTGACAGAATGAAACAAAAAAGTCAACACAGCAGAAGGCTTTTTAATAAATTACATTTTGGCAAATGATCACAGGCAAATTAACAAAAGCTGACTCATGCTGATCTCATTTATTTGTTCTATACATATCTGATTAATCGGCATTAATTCTGTTGATGGAAACAGGAGAACTCCATTGTTATATACAGATTAGAAATGTAAACACTTAGCATTTCCCACAACTACTTTGAATGTTATGTTAAATAACATTGTGAATGCCAGAAACGGTTAGGCAGGCAAAGTGCTCTACTGCCCCCTAATGAAATAGACCAAACAAAACCATAACGAAACAAGAAAACTTATTTTAAAGTGTCTGTGAACTAGAAAATCACCTTACTTTGCAGAATGCACTTGACAGGTACAAAGGGCATTAGCTGAAATTAACTAGCCTATAGATCGGTCCAAAAGCTACAATCATCCAAGTTTCATGATAAAATTAGTAGCAAAACAGGAAAGCCTTGAGACAGAAATATTCTTAGGGCAAAGATAACATGGCCAAACAATGTTATCTAGAATGAAAGCAAATGAAAACTCCATTGCAAGCAACGGGTTCCTGAGCTGTAAGCTGACACCAGGAAAACCTGCTCCTTAGAAACTAGACTCTGGGGTAAATGGCACTGTGTGAACATTGTCCAGCTAGTCTCTCGTTGACTCTGACTCTCATCTTCTCAGGATCTCAATACGTGCATATTTTCAGGGTAACTATGCTATTAAATACATATTTAAAAGAATTTCCACTTACAGCTTACTATTTTCCATGAATGATTTTACGACATGATAATTCTGTACTTTGTGGCACTTCCCATTATAACCTACGCAGTCCCAACTCCTAACATCCAACAGCAGCTCCTCCTTCGCTGCGGTTTTCACAACCTGTTCCATGTCCTTGCTCTTTCACTTCGGCCTATCAAAAATTCCTGAATTCTCATCTCAGAACATAGGAAACTGAGAGAGAGAGTGAGAGAGAGAGAGAGAGAGAGAGAGAGAGAGAGAGAGAGAGAGAGAGAGAGAGAGCACAATACTGTCTTTGGTCTTTAATAACAGAAACATCCAACAGTTGCCACATGAAGCAGAAATAAAAGGATAAAATCATGATAACAGGGAAATGTAAAGAAAAAAATCCAACTCAAGGCAGAACTCAGCAGCTGGCTGAGCAGACGATGCAGCTGTCAACTGTTCCTTGAGGCCAGAATCACTTGGACCCAGCATGCTCCTACCCAGGTTGACAGTGGTTTTACATTTCATTGTGTGTCTACTGTCCAGGAAACATTAGCTGGATCGAGTCCACACGGTGCCATAGGAGGGGGCAAGATAAGAAATGACTCAATCTGCACACAGGATAAAGAGCTCACAGCCCTCGCAGTGGGTGCTGCTCTCCTTGCTCTTCTACTGTGAAAGACAGAGGTGCTAGCTTTGCACACAAGGCTAAATAATGCTCATATGTAATAAGACGCAATCAAAATTTCTAAAGAGAAACACATGGAAAATATAAATATACTTGGACCCATATCACAAATGATCTAGATTTCACATCTGCATCGATTTTCTAGGCAATATGAATTTAAAAAAATGACTGTCTTGCTGAAGTATTATTGCCTTATTCTCACCCCCTCACAACGACATGGGCACAGACATGAAGGCATGGTTTTATAGGCATATGTAATGAAGCTGGGAGGCTTGGGCACCCCAAAGAGAAGCACTATGAAATCCTTGGTGCTGAAAGTATTTCTAATATTTGCTGAAAATAATATCTCTTAGCTCGCATAGTGCTGTAGCTCTGTAGCTACCTGGAGTTAATATACAGTAGTCATTAAGAGATTAAACAGAGACAGCACAGGGCTACTTAAACATGCCATGGTGACCCCCAGTCTACTCCAATCCCTTCCAAACCATTCCACCAAACCTAAAGGAACACCTTCCTTGGTTTACAGGAGGGAAAGTAAATGGCAGTAACTACATTAGCAAATCAATTTAGCAACAACTTTGGCCTGAAGTAAATGGAATGACTGATTGACTGACTGATTGATTGATTGATTTTAGCTCCTTACATTGTACTGATGATGGTGATGATGATAACAGCCAGTACTGATAATTTACCACATTGGAGTA